TTGAGATTAGGGTGAAGGCAGTTTTTTGGCATGTAATTAGAAGTATTTTTTTTGCAATTGAAAATCAGAAAGATGGAACCAGTTCACATTCTGCTTATAGGTCTGTCTATGCTAACATGTTTTATGATGTTATGGATAACTGCTGGGAAGCAAGAGAGTTCTAGAGATGGTATTCTGTTTCTTTGTTAGCACCTTAGTAAGACATTTAAAAGAGATGAAAAGTATAGCCCTTTAATTGTCCTATCTGGCAAGTCTGAGGCTTAGACTGCATTTAATTTTTATATATAAAAAATATAAAAATTGGATATTTATATTCTGTCAAGTGAAAGAATAGTTGCATTTTTGACTTAAAGAGAAAGTTTGATCTGCATAGCACAATTGTCAAATTAGTTAATCCATAAATATTGACTATTTTAATTTGTTGAAAACAGAAGGCTAGCATAAAGAATGTAGTATCAAAACTCTAAAAGAAGTCAGTGAAAAGTAAATGTTATGCAACATGAGAAGAATACAGGGGAAAAACTGACAGAATAGAATAACAGGAAGATTAGTCATTTCTGGAAGAAAAAAAGGGTGGAGAGGGGGGGAAGAAATATTTTAAACAGGAAAGTAGATCTGGAAGTGCCATAAAAAAAGACAGATATGAGCTAATTAAGAGTGAAACTGGGCTTTTGAAAAAGGAATAATACTGGTTGCATTTCATTACAAAACATAAAATTTGTATTAACAACAAATAAAAACAAAAAATGGACAACATTTTCTATTAGGGATTAGGAGAACCCTGTAAAAATAAAAGAACAATGTTTACTTCTTAGCTGAGGTGACTTATCTTAGGCCAGCCAGCAATGCCTTACATACACAAAGAAAATGTATTATTTTTAAAAAACAAACTCATGTTCTACATTCATGTGTTGATTAAATAAAAATATTCTTTGCATCTTAAAATATGTATGCTATTTGGTTTGAAAAAATTTTCACTTATGCATTTATTTATCTGACAACTAAAGGAGTAGCAATCTCCAACTATTTTAAGAATTTTTATAAATTCTTAAAAATATAAGTTATAACTCTATAAGA